TTGTCATGTCTATAGCACCTGTGGAAAACTGCTTTGCAGTAATTTAAATTTTGACCAATCTTGTATGGAGAAGAATACGACGACTATCAAAAAGAAAATACCAATCTCGAAAAAAAGATTTAAAGGTGAAAGATCTTTTGAATTTATCATTGCTAAAACGCGAACTTTTGAAGGATTCACTATAAAAAAAAAAAAAAAAAAAAACTTGTATCTGTGATTAAGTAACACACGTGATCGTATATTTATGCGCATAGTGACACGTATCGGGCTCTCGCGAAGAAACGATGGTTGATAATAATGTCACTTTCAAAGAGGTTCGACTCCTCTCCTTGAACTTTTTCATGCGGCCTCCGCTCATTAAAAATAATTTCAGTGATTATAAAGAAGAAAGATTGAAGTATTTCATTGAAAACGTTCTGCCTATTTATGACATAATTTGTCTTGAGGAAATGTTTGAATTCGGTAGTACTCGTCGTCAAAGATTGTTGGAAGCAGCTTTTAAGGCTGGCTTCGAATATACTTGGACCTCCCCGAGGAGTACAATATTCAATTTGTCCATTGATGGCGGTCTGGTTATTATAAGTCGTTTTCCAATAAGAAGTCAAGATAACATCACTTATCCATATGGAACTTATAGTGATAGGTATGACGTGTAAAAATGTACTCAGTCATGTAGAGATAAATATGAATGCATGTTTTTTTCCTTTTAAAGGCTTGCGGCCAAAGGTGCCCTTTATGTCAAGATTGAATTGGCCGAAGATCAATTTGTTCATCTTTTCTCTACTCACACTCAGGCGTCTTATGTCGCTTCTCCTCCTCTATCGGATAAATCGGTGCTTGTGCGTGAACAACAATTTTTCCTCCTTCGTCAATTCATCGACAAAGTCATCGTGAGTAGGCGATCACACGAGCCAATAATTCTGGTGGGCGACCTGAACGTTAATTCTCGTCCTCCGCCTGATTCTTCCAATCCTTCAAGTGTGAAGGGAGACAGTCAAGAGTACCTGAACATGATAAAAATTTTGGATGGTGAAGGAATACATGAGGAGGGTTCCACCGTTAAATACTCGAATAAAAAGATTATCAGTGTAAGGGACATGATTAAAGAACGTTGCGGAATTCACCCAATCACTTTTGCTGATGTGTTGAAAGATGATGAAGGGAAGATAATTCCTAGAGAGGTCGTTCTGACCTCGAAAGACGATTTATTAGCTCAGGCCAGTTTGGACTATATTTTACTAATCGATGACGATCCTAATATTAACGATTCGGGGAAAATAAGACTTGATCTTCAGAGAACAGGTGTTCAAGAATTCTTTATAAAAAATCAACCGTTCTCTCAATTGTCTGGTACGTGAGAATCATTAATCACAGAATAATGTTTGACATTGATGTTTACTTTTTATTCTTTTTAAAAAAGATCACTACGGTGTCAGTACAATTTTATGCGTCAATCTGTGAGCGCAGTTTTTTTTTTCTTTATCAGGGGTAAACATACAATCTCAGATTTTTGTATTATTATTAAACATTATTAAACATCTCGTGTGTCATGTATTCTACGAAAAAAAAACAACCGCGTCAAGTGAACATCGAGCTTTCATTGAATCGAGTGTCCATCCTGAATTGATGTTGTAAAGTGATTACCATCAACATGCTATCAGATGCATCAGCTATGCACATAGGTTGGTCCTCTCATGGCTGGTGCGTTGTAGGGATTCAAAGGATTGACGATGGGAGCTCTTTCCATGCCAGGTGGAATACCTTCAGAGTACATTCCGGGTCTGTCATTCTTGAAAAAGAATTGCAATGAAAATTGTTTGGAATCAGGATCCCAGTGCGTGAAAAACTTTCCCTCCCCCTTATCAATTTCTTTGCTTTGCACTTTGAAAGCGATTGTTTCATATGGCTCTGCTGCGAAGAGCAAATATTGATGTGCCTTATTAGGAGGCTCGATCTTTTGCTCGTAAGCCGACATAAATCGGTGGCGGGGGATGACATCCAAACCAATTTCTGGATATTGAATTTGAAATAGTAGACCAAGTTGTCTGGTTATCGGATCGCGAACCTTGGTCACCTTATATCCCGGTCTGCCAATCTTAACGAGATTTTTTCTCACTTGAATCTTGGCTTGTGCCTGCAACGCCGGCTGGATATTATTATTCTCTTTGGCTTCCCTGGCGGCACGGCGGGCAAGGTTCGTCTGATGCTTTTTACCTTGAGTGTGGGCGAGGTAACTACCTTCATTGGTGTGTAAAGTTAGACAGAGTTTGCACTCATAGGATCCAAGATGATTTTTCATAAAATATGGATCCTTGTTCAAGTCAATGGTCTCCAACGCAAGTTTACGAAGTCGTTCGCGTCGATCCACGTTGGTCTCCGAATAACCAGCCACACCACCACTACCTACCTTCGAACCTATTAACGATAGAAGGTAATTTGTTAGTTAGTAGTCATTAGACGGTTTGCTTAGGCGCATAAATCTTTCCTTTCTTCTCACAAACCTGGTCTGTTCTGAAAATCCATCTTCAGTTCGTTTTTTTTTTATATATTCACTAACCTAGTTTTGTCGTTCTCAATATGCAGGGCACATTTGTAAACAAACACATATCACGTGATAATTTGCTTTAATAGCGTATGCGAAATTTGTTTTGCACAAAAACCTATTTTGTTATAGGGGCAAGAAAATAGGAAAAAAAATTATTATATGTTTTGTAACCCTCCTGTATGTCAACAAAGCTAGACCGCCATAAAGATGTCTTATTCTCCGGAATCTCTTAAGGGCAAAAGAAAGAATGAATTAAAAGGTGCTTCATTTATCTTGCATTAACGTCAGGCAACAGTTTGACTGGTAAAGGCGTTTTTTTTATGAGACTCAAGGAAATCTGTTTAATGGTCAATCGATATTATCTTCTTAGATATCGCACAAAATCTCGGATTAAACACAAAAGGTCTACGCTCGGAGCTCGAAGATAGAATCAGGTTTTATTAGTTAACATACTATGCTATTGTTACCTTTCGATCCTCGAGGGTTTCCTTAATGTTGACTTTCAACACTTTTCTCATTTGCTTTACAAGGGCACACTTAATAGAAACCAAACAAGAGGAAGAAAG